TACACGTATTTTTTTTTTAATAATTAATAAATAAAGAAATTGAGGAATTTTTCATTCAAACTATAAAATTGTATTGTTAAATATTGTATAAATATTGACCTTATTGAGCAATTTCATGTATATTATGTGTATATATATGTATATATAACATATTAATTTTTAAAAGAAAATATAAATTTCCAATATTCTATAGAAAATTGTATACCTGATACATACTCAATATACGAGAATATCTCATAGAAGATTAAATAATCTCTGTCAGTATTATTTAGACCGGATTAAAATTAAAACAAGTTCTAAATTAACCAAAATTAATTAAAATCTCTTATTTTCATTTTCCCTTAAATGGCTCCAACTGATTTTAACTCGATTGACATTTCATGAAACGCCCGATCGGTTACACGCAAACACCCACGTGGAACGCCCTACAGACGAAAGTATCAATCACGAAGTGCACAAAGTGTCAGGACGACGTCAATTTGAACGCGGGGAGGGAGGGAATCGACACAGTCACAACGTTACTGCTGGGGATTCGATGTTATCGAGTCCCATAATCGCCATTAAACCATATCCATAAATTAGCATACGATCTCGTCGACCCCTAACTCGTTTCGCTGATCCTCTCGGTTGTGGCGATGGTAGTGGTAGACTACTAAAATCCCGTTATATACTCGAATGTCGAATGCAGAGAACAACGGGCGGCGCGTCGGGAATAATCCCTGCGCCGTGCCGAGAAAATTCGTCGACGATCAAAGGATTAGAATTCTGCGGGATGTGAGAATATTTTCCCAACCTGATGTCAACGTCGCAACGTGATACATCACCCGTGTGGAAAAGCAACGCGACACAGCAGCGTGAATCATCGCGTCGTCGGACACGCCAAGCCGAGAGCGTGTCAGAGGACAACTCCCCGGCGCTCGTTCGTTTCCGCACTCGTGGAAATTTCGCCTATAGACCACATAGCCCTGGCGGCGCGGCGCCGCGCCGCGCACGTGCGCCGCGCGCGAATGGCGCCATAAATTCACGTGTCGTTCTGAAACGTTTACCCTTCCGCCGCTGAATCGCATTTACGACCGTAATTACTTATCCTGGATAATTTAGTCGCCAGCTGTATTCATTGATATCACATATACGTGTCCCCGTAACTCTGTAATTCGCTGCTCTCTGTAATTTCCAACTCGCTAATATTCTTACTAACCATACTGAAAAAAAAATATTAAATATTAATAAATATTTGCCTAAATATAGTTCGAAGTAAATATTTATACTAAACGTAAACATGTACATTTCGTACAAAAACCATTAATTTAATTTAACTGTCATTTCTTTATTATGTAAATATTTATCTATTATATATAAGTAAATATTTACTTAATATTACTTGGAAAAAATATGTATTACGATTTAGTAATTTTTTTTCAGTGCGTGCTCCGAGAAAATTAACGCGACCGCTCCGCAGTTTCCGCGTTTTTAATTTAACGCTCCGTGGTTGAATTTAACCGCGTCAAGGAGCAAGCTTGAAATAAGACGTCACTCTCTATCTGAAACAATAATCACCTTTGTGATCTACATTGCAAATTCAAGTGTGCAATAGCCTTCATATATGTAGATATGACTTCGTTTAAAAATAACACATTATACTCTCTCTGCATACACAAAAATAGATTTATACACTTAAACATGTAGTATAGTGTGACTTTTGCAAGTAAAATAAAATCGCACACACATGTGAAAGCACTAATTACGCGCTGGATTTGCGGTATAAACGAGGAGCAAAAATGATAATTCAATTGTATGAAAATAGCACCGTATTTATCTATTGTTAATTTTACGAACCACTCGCGCAAATTGATGCCAAACAGGGAAAGAGAGAAGATAGTCGGTCGTCTCTTATTTTTATCTTCTCACTCCTATCCGTTTCGAAGAAGCAATCCAAGTTCGCGTGTCTCCTCGCCGCCGATGCTATCGCGAACGAGCACGTACAAGACGCTTTCCACGATGTCGGCAGAAGCGAGGAAGGTGCGCAGCATTCCCATTGTCGGAGTTCGAGTTCGGTAGAAAAGAGAGAGAGAGAGAGAGAGAGAGAGAGAGAGAGGCTCTGACACTCCGCGTAAAGACGCGTTCTTTACCACCGTAATTCCGTTTCTCACCGCGCGTAAACAGCCGTGGCTTGCTTTCTGCGCGGCTGCAGTTTTTGCCGCTGGCGTTTAGGAAAGTATTTACGATCTCGCGTGAGGCGATTGTCATAATCGTATCGTTGATGCGCGAATAACGGTGCTCGTCTGTTTACTTGCCACGTAATAAAAAAAACCTATTAAACGAAATATTATCTTCGTTGTTTCGTTTACGGGCGGGCGAAATCAACAGACAGAGTTTACGCGTTCTTGCGAGAATAATTCGTTGAATGTTGGTAAAAACTGTTTATACATGATTTTTTGAGAATTAAGCCCATCACGCATAAAATGACATAAGCTGCATAAACAAAAAATAATTTCTTGACAATAAGCTTAAAATATACGTATATTACAAATTTAAAAAAAAAACTTGTTATTTACTCAAATCCAGAATTAATTTTCTTTTCAAGAATATTATATAATATTGATCGAAAAAGCGATTTTTTATGATAAGCGAATTAAATTTTATAGCGATTTTAATTTAATAATGTTGATTGAAGTATTAAACTCATTAGAGAATTCAGACTATATTTTAAATGAATTTACTTGCAATGAATTTATGATAGATTTACGGATATATGAGCTCTTCAAATACTTGAAACAACAATCGTTACTTACATATACTATGTATTTTTTCATATGTCAATATGGTTTCCTTATACATTTATCAATTTGTATGTGATGGACTTACGATTATGGCGAATAAAAAACTTAAGTAATAAAACATAGGCAATAAACAAATTGGTCAAATACAATAGAGACTATAAAGTAATAATATAAGTTATAATAAATTCAAAATGTGTGTATGTGTGTTGTTGACTTCCATACTGTTTATGTCTTATTATTTAAGTTTATTTTTAAGTCTATATTCCTTAACTCTTCACCGGCCGAGTTAACCCTAAAACGCTATCGGTACATAAATTTTACGTAAGGTCATTGAGCGCTAATGCCTTCAGTGGTCACGAAAAGATCCAATCTGTCAAAAACTAGAACAAGCAAGGACAAGCTTTTAAAAATTCACTCCGTTATATGTATATCATATTAGGCTCTTTGATTAATAAGTATTATAACAGAGAGCGTAGTAAATAATTTCATTTTTTAAGCAGTTTTGTGTTAGTATATGTACATTTTATTCCTTTTAAGTTAATAATTAAGTTATTTGTGTTTCTAAAGAGAGATATATTATTAAAATAAGAGACGTATTAAAATTTTTATAGTTTATTTCTTCGTATGTAAAATTGACGTATCGATACTGTATCACTCAATATCGATAACATATTCTAGGTTTAAACTTTGACTATTCGCCTTTGAAAGTACAGTCGATATTTTGAGTTTAAATTTTGGCAGGTAAATTTTAATCTATGAAAAAATAAATAAAATATAGTCGAGTTTCTATGATAATAAAAACTCATGTTGTTAAAGCTTTTATAAATGCACAGAGCAAGAATTTTTTTCAGATTTTTCGTACAGTTTAGAACAATATAATCTGCACTAAAGCTCCAAAATAATAAAAATGTTGATGGAAGTTACAAAATTTCACATAGCCGAGTGTTAATATTCCACGGAGGTTGATAGGATAACATCGCGTGCTATAGCACGTATTATACAAAAATAATATAATAAATGTAATCAGACATACACATCAGAGCCATTTACTGTCAAGCAACTTTCGCATTACAAGACTGTCTCCTGGGAATGTCCACGTGGGCCTTGCGCTTCAATAAATTTTCTATTAACAAGCGTAAAGAGACAGTAAAGCAACTTCGATCGACACACGGATATAAAAGTTGAACCATTGAAATGTTTAATCACATTGGTCACTAGTCGGAAACTCCGAGTTACTCGACCAATATAATTAAACGAACAACGGACAGTACATTTAACCGTATCAACACTAATTAATAACGAGGCTCAAAGAAAACTCCAGGATAGTCTCTGCAAACCGCGAGCAACGATAACGATGCTTTCGTCGTAGTTTTCGCTCGAAAGAACTTTTGCACGGAGGAAGCGCCGGGAAAAAGTTCGCAAGTAAAAGCGGAAAGATCACTGGGAGAAGTAAGATAAATGCAATCTCCTTTCTTAATTTCTGGATTAACGAAGAACGCAGAGAAGGACTCGAAGCTTTTACTTGGAAATCGACAGAAGTCGAACGTGGATTTCGCGAAAAAGGCGACTGCCCCCTCCCAGAGGAGATACTTTGCCGCGTATTTCCTCACTTAATCTCCGTAAAAAGGGAAGGATACATTTCAGAGAAAGAGAGCGACTATAAATTCATAAATATTATTTCGTTATTAAGGAAAATTCGCGCAAAATTGTTCTCCGCGGCGGTCATGTATTGCTTCTTATCACTTTCGATTAACGGGAAATCGAGAGCGCTTATCTCGCGAAGGCGTGACATAATATCGCCGTCAAGGATCGGATGCGCCGGAGGTGAACGCAGAATGGTAAATCGATTCTATACGAGATAGCCCTGCGTATCGGCGAGAAGATTGACTTATTGATCGAGCATGAGCCTCCCATCGCGTCGAGCCGGGGAAGAGAACTCGACATTGGATACAGCCCGACGATCATACGTCTCGTAACATCCGATCTCGTGTTTGTCCGCAGAGGAATGTTCAGATGTTGTTCAATCAGTCTTCAGAGCGAGCCGCTGATGTTCCGCGAGCATTATATCTCGCAACATTTTATCGAAAAATTGATTTATCTAACACTTCATGCTTCGTATGAGACAAAGAAACTTCATCGCGTGCTAGAGTTTTAATTTTAACTGTATATTATATATACATTTTTTTAAATACTGATTAATCTCTTTTATGAAAGACTTACCTTCAAAATGTTTTCTACATCTGGAGGAGTATCAATCGATGCTCGCGAGTTAGACCCCTGAAAAAGAAAGATTAAAAAAACATTAGTTGCGATTGTCGTTGATTTGTCTATCTTTATTTATTACTTTCATTAATTAGGGTTGTCACAAATCCTATAATTTTTCCCTGATTTTTCCCAAGTAAAATTTTATGATTTTTTATGACATTCAATAATATTCAAAAATTTTTTTCTATTTTCGTCCCGAGGGTTAATCATGTAACTTTTTTCCTAGGGCCGCAACGTAAAAAGTGAAAATGTTTATGTATATTTTCACTTTTTACGTTCCCGCTCTAGACAAAGGTATGATTGATCCCTGATTGGAAAACGATTAAATATTTTGTTGAGCAATCAATTTAACATAACAATGTGAATTCTTATTAATGTTGCTGACACTGCTTGCATCTTTTGGTAGTATTTTAAAATTGTATTAATGTGATGTACGTATGTTAAACTTTTTTAAAGCTAAGTATTTTAATTTTTCACAAAATTTTGCAAAATTCCTCTGACTATTCTCCAATTCATCTAACCTTTTTCCATTTCCCTGATTTCAGTTTTGTGACAACCCTGTTAATGTTTAATATATCAACGTGTTAATTAAAATTAAATTAATACATTTAATATATTAATTTTTATCAATAAAATAATATAAATTTATTTCTGGCAGAATAAAAACGTAAACGGTGAGTAAATTTACATTATGCAAAGCAACGCTATTTTAATTTGAATAAATATCTGTAGTTAAACGACTTCATTTCCTTGGCAGATCGAATTGTCTCTTCGCGCGCATGAGGACCAAATTTAAAGCATCTTGTACGTATTCGGGAGACTAATTTATACAAATAAATGTATATCCACCCTCGTAAAATTCCTCCGCGATTTATGACGAGCCTCCTCGAGCGATCATTAATCAACATCGTCGACAAGAGAAGGCATTGAAAAGGGTAGGAATGAGACGAGCGAGAGGACGCATCCTGAAGGGTGGTATTACGAATAGCGTCGAGTAGTCATTCCTGGAAAGAAAACGCGTGAACAATGGAGAATGCGTGAGGATGGCTGGAGCACCGGATGATGGGAGGAAAAAGGGCGACAAGGGAAAGGCGAGGAAAGGGTTGAGAGTGTCTACTAACTTTTAGCCGGAGGACACCGCATCGCGGAGAACGGGGCGAAAAATGGAGGCAGACGAGACTGGATAATCACGGAAAAGGCACAAGCAAAAAATAGGAAAACCCGAGAGAGACGAGAGGCGAGAAAAAGGAAGCAGAGAATATACTTGTACATATTATCATGCTCGCGAGCAACGAAACGCGATAAATAGAGAAATGTTTAAAATACAGTAATGTTTAAATTACGGATTTGAAAGAAATTAACCTTCAAACCTGTTTATGAATAGTTCACAATCAAAAATAAGATTTAATTATTTCGTTTTTATTTCTGCGCCGTACCGACAGTTAATTAAATGATTTCCGACAAAAACACGCAAACACGAATTTACTTTTCACACAGAAATATCAGATATATATAAAGGAATAATAAAAGACGTGAATAAATCGAAATAAAAAAAGAATAAAGAGACAGTGACGCAAAAAAAAAACTCAAGATACATTATTCCATTAACAACGGTGCTTAAGATTGCGAATTTATATCTCTGGTTGACAATCACGACCGCATCACCCCTCCTTTTCCCATTTACCTTTCTTTATACGTAATTCCAAACTAATTTCGCGGATGAGGACGAATGGCCAACGACTCGAACGATCCGCCATTGTCAAAGAAAGAAGAAAAAGAATGCCGGAACTGTAGAAGGAGCGGCGAAGGGATGAACGGGAATCAATTTTCCGGGAGAACGCGAAGGAGGGAGGAGAAACGGGATGCTCCTCACACTCCCGACCGGTTCTAATTGTATAAGTACACCCGAAGAAAGAGAGACACTTCAAAGATGGGCAACGTGTGATCGGCAAAAGAAGGGAGGAAGGGGACACAGGAAAAAGAGACAGGATCGATAGTCAATCTCAATGAAATTTGCACCTCGAGGAGCTAGACGTAATAGCGCTCGCCGACTCCAACTCTCCCTCTCTCCCTCTTTATCCCTCCTCCCACGATCTGGACCACCCCGCCCAGCTAGATTTCCATTGAAAAGCAATTCGTTCTCTGTCAACGAGAGCCTGTCGAGCCAACTGGTTTCGTTTGATACCCACCGGATGATCCCAGAATGGAAATTCAAAGTCGGCGTGAAGGAGAGAGAGAGAGAGAGAGAGAGGATAATAATAACCTCTTTATTATGGCTCCTTGGTGATTAATGCCATGGTTGCTTGATCTTCTCCTACGATTTACAGAGGGAGGAAATGTCGTGATTTGCTTGTCTGAACGCGGAAACGAAGAGCGTTCCAGACGTCGAGGAGTGATTAATAATTGAAGACATTGATGTCGTAACCGAACAATTCGGAATGTCAATTTTTCCAAAAATATGCTTTCATGTTTTCAACTTTATTGTAATTATTATAATGATTATTTACTGTACCAATCACAAACACTCAATGAATTGCTGATGTACTTTACATATATATTCGCGTTGGTTAATTAGAATTAAAAAATTATCTGATTTTACAGAGATCAATATCGAAAAATATTGAGAACAGTAATTTGCCAATATTAAAATTGCGTTATTACGGCGGAATATGAAGAATAATTAGTACATAGGGAGGATTATTGGCAAGCATAATGATTTCCAGCAACTTGTTAATTTTGACAGTGTCTCGTTTAGTAATGCGCGACAATAGCGTCGAGCCGCCACGGAAACTTCGCTCTTAATCTTCTTACGTGACAAATAATCGCAACTCTCGGCGAGACGTGCTATTAAAGTAGTTCGAGACTTTGCGAGTCTGGCATCGCCGCGACATCACCGCCGCGACATCACCGACGCACTTATCGAGAGACCTCTAATATCACGTGAATTTAATGATACGTTAAACAAAAAATCAATGCGTTAGACGGAACAGGAAGACAATGCTTTATAACTCATGAATTTTTATTCCAATAAAATACACTGTTCAATTCAATGTCACATTAAATTCAATTTGAGTTATTTTTAAATCATTTCTAGGTTACTATAGTTTCTATCACGACTACTTCTACTATATTTATTAAATTTTTCGAATAAATTTAATGCTTGTATTTTAAACTTACATAGATTTGCGGATGTATATGAACTTTTAAAACACTTGAAACAAATAATTATTCGCATACAGTACATATATATGTATATATATGTGTAGCTTAAAAATATTATAACAAAATGTTAAATTTAAGGAATTGGATTATTTTTGCTCCTTTAATATTTAAGGGTGTGGCTTATAGACTTTCATTGCATATAATTTTGCATTCGAAATGCAGAGAATATTGCAACGATCAATTGGTCTCAAAAACTACATCTCCTCAAAAACCTTCAGAAATTTTTTTATCGTGACATGAGAAACTGATAACAAAATAAAAAAATCAAAAATAATTTAAAACTGACTACATAAAGCCATATTCACAGTGATTGTTCCTTTAGTACTAAACACATCAATTTATATAGAAATTGCTCTCTAGTCGATTATTTATTTCCCAATACCACCGAAACGCTTTCAAACTTTAGATTAATCTTCTTGCTCCTCGACGTGCATGCGAGACATTTCAGAAATTATGTACAAGCATTCTTCATTCACGTGTTCGCAGGTCGGTACTTCTACGATCATTTTTCATACTCGTCAGTTTAGAATTCACTCGTTCGCGATAGAGTTAGCCAAGACAGCGAAAGAATCGATAAAGAGAAAAGTTTTAAAAATTATACCGCTTTATATAATATAATCCAGATAATCATTGTAATATTCATTGTAATATTCACATAAAAATAAAAATATATATATAATCGTCCTTTTCACTTCCTTAATAAATCTTTATCTAATCTTTTTATATATTCCCTCTTTTAGCAATTTCGAATCGTTTCATATTCATAAAAAAATGTTCACAACATAATTCAATTCGGAGCTTTTTATTGTGTTTCCTCGTTTTATCGTGACGCTAACTGTTATATTAATACCTTTCGATTACTATCGCCGCTCTTTCGACCCCATAGTATCTATGTCGCAGGAAACACGCGACTTCCGGGACACCCCGCGTGCAAACAATCTCCACTCGAAGCGAAACGATCAAACCTCCGTTACCTCCGAAAAGCCATTATCGTCCACTCTCGGGGGAATGAATGGTCATCGCGCATGCAAACCGTATCCAAAACGTTTCGAATCATCCAGCCGATCGACGCGTGCGAGGGACAAAGATACAAAAAAGATCGATTACTCACGTTAACTTCAATCAGCTTCAGTCGGCAGGCGAATTGAGTGCGGCTCGAAAGACTGCCGCCGGGGTTACCGACAACACTTCCGCTGGAACTGCTGATCGGCACCGCACTATTGCTTCCCCCCGTGGAGGATGGTTGAGGCAGCGGTGGACCCTTAGCCGGAAGTAACCCATGGCTGCGATGATCGTTGCCGCCGTGCTTAACCGGTTGACCGGGATAACCACCTCGACCACCGTAAGGCGGTTTGCCGTCGGCAGGTTTGACGAAGCCGCCGCGCTGATGACTTGCACTCGACGAGGAAGACGCGGCGCTCGTGCCCCGAAGTCCACCAGGCTTCTTGAACTCCGGCCCCGAGGACGGGGAACAGCTTCTGCCGGAGCTGTCCGTGCCGGACTTGTGGGCGGCAGGCGTCGGCAAGGGCGCCGGACTCTGCGGGATGCCACTCTGTTCGATGCCGAACAGACGCTTAGGCTTATCAAGTAGATGCTTCACCAGCGAATAGTTACCCAGCTTAGACTGGATTTGTGGATCAGGATTCACCTGAAAAAAGGAAAAGGGTAAAAAAAAAACATTAGTGACGTGAACGAGATCTGTTATTCTACGACACACAAATCGACATTCGACTTTAGTTCGTAGATATTTCAAATATTTGAAAAAAAAAACGTGATTTATATATATTAATGGGTATCCGTTATAATTCCTGATACATTAAACACTTGAAATTATAAGATTTAATAATTCTAAACAACAAATTTTACTTCTCAACGAGTAATATGTGTTTCTTGTTTTTTATATTGAAAAAAGATGTTTTTTTTTTTAAATTCACCACACTTTAAATAGAAACTCGAATTTAAATTTGTTATATAATAACGCAAATTTGCAATATATGCATATATAATTATAAAAGGTTTAAATATTTTTTTAGAATATATAAAAATAAATAAAATCCTTTCATTATATATTTATATATAATTTTAAATGAAATATACAAATAATAAAACTTACTAGAAAATATTTAATGTCAAAATATTACAGTAATTTACAAAGCTCCTCAATACTTAAAAATAGTGATAGTTATATATTTTACAATACTTCGTATAAAAAAAATGTTATTAATTGTTTAAATTTGTAGTTTTTCAAAAAATAAAATTCTTGATGTCTTATAAAAAAAAATTTTTTTGTAGAAACTGTTTTAAGTTTTATACCCTTTCTCAGCAGCTAAAAATACATAAAAATCACCATTTATAAGAGTTGAGAAAGAGAAACCTTATAAATCTGTGTAATTAGCTTGTACGTGATACTTAAGAGAGATTAATGTGAGTACATAAAAGCTCGAAAAAACATTTTCGCATAATCTAGATTTGTTAAATGTCAACTGAAAATCCGCTGTTAATAAGTGTAAACAAAGAAAAAGCTGCGCGGCAAATATCTCGCTTGTATCTCAGCGATAAGATTCTTCGGCGAATTACGTTATTAATTTTAACGCATTTTTAATTAGAAAACCACATGGGAATTCTCAATTAACTTAGCAACTCCACGTAAAGCTGTTAATTGCTGTTTAAGCTTTCACAGGGAGAAATTCATTTCGTCACCGGGAAATCGCGGTGACAAGTTACATCTCAGATGATACGCGCCTAAATGGGACACGATGGTCGTGAGGGGTAATGCAAGGGTGACGACATATATAACGAATCAATCATGTCACGGTAGCGTTCTGTAATAGCCTTCTGTAAGCAGCCTTGGTCCCCGTCATTTATCAAACAAAGATCGACGACGAGACGCAGCGATCGGAAAATGTAGTCGCCGATACCGTCAACGGCCTTCATCGTGTTTTGTCGCTTATAACATGTGTGTGTGTACATATATATATATATATATGGTACATACATATACACATATATAATAAAATATTAAATATTAATATATTATACATATATATATGCTGAAAAAATAAATATTTATTTAAACAATTGTAAGTAAATATTTACTCAATATAAATATATATTTATTTGATATAAAAATAATAAATTTGACTTATCTTTTTTTATTGAGTAAATATTTATTTACTATAAGTAAATGTTCACTTATTGTTAAATTATATACGTTGAGATTAACAATTTCTTTTCAGTATACATATTGTGTATTAATATTAAATAATATGTAATATTTGTATATTATGTATATTAATAATAACTGTATGTGTCTGTAAAAAGCTATTTACGAAAATGTATAAATAAACATTGAATTAGAATGTGTATAAATTTACACAGAAATAGATATACATATTTAAGCACTAAAATCTGCTTTGGCCAAAAATAGGTATTTCTCGTATTTAATTAGATTTATTCTTATCGGGGTGCTGTTTCTTAATATATATTATTTTTATAACATAACTTTTTATTTTAAATCAATTGAAAACTTTCTTACTGTAATATGTTGAATCACAAAGTTCGGCACACTGTACATACATTTTCCTGTCGCGCACTGATTGCACGGGCAATTAGCAAAAATTAATGTGTCGAGAAGCTGGCGGCTGCCGCCGAGTTTACGACATACAGTGTTCGACTGGTAATTTAGCGTGTAGCGCGCGCTAATATGAATCACGTTTGTTGTACGTGCGCAATAATACGACCGCTGTTCTCGCCATACCTCGCGCTCGGCGAGCAACCAACCACGCGTTTCGCCTTTGTCCGTTAAAGACAATGAGATCGAATCGCGGTTTAATAAGGAGGTCGACGAACGGCGCAGGGTTAGTGCGCCAAAAGGGAGAAATTTAACGTGATTAATGAGCACAGCTATAAATCACGTCCGCTTGTTAGCGCCGGAAGACTTTTTCGCGTCGATCGCACTTGTAATGAAGGCGGCGCTCGGTGCGATCCGCTTGAGCAGGAATTTCGGAAAGGAGCAACTTGGCGTGCGTAATTCTTGCACGTACTTACGTGCAGAATAATGGCATCGACAATGACAGAAATAATTGTCGAGCTAACGACTGTTAGCGTCGATTTTATAATGACACGACGAACAGGCCGTCATTGTAAAATAAAAACGAATATAATTACAATAAAATAAATAATGTGACTGAAATGAACGAAAGAGCATGAACGTCTGATATAACAAATATTCTGCTACAGAAGTATTGTATTATTTTCAATTTTTCTTTCTTATAGTCTATAGTGAAACATGTGTCTATAAAACATTATTCCAAGTATTGTACACAGTCATATGTTTTTTTTTATATTAACATTCCTCTAAATGGGTTTACATTGATAAAATATGTAAATAACATCTTAATTTTTCAAACGCCAATTGTAAAGTTGATGAATTTAAAAAGTCAAGACGCGTAGTTTATCTCTAATTATTTAATATTTTAATCTAGCGCATTAATTACGCGCTACATTTGTCGTTTTCCCTTTAATGTTTTATTCGTTTGTAATTCAAGTAATAAAAATTGCTACAGAAATAGATATCTTTCAAAACATTATTTTTTCATCTTTTTCCTTTTAAATTATCCTACGATAGGGTGGGTTTCCACCCCAAAGACGCGACAGGACATTGACGTACCTCATTAATTAAACCCCAAGGTGCCACTTCCACAAAGTTTGCGGTAGCATAATGGAGAGAGAGAGAGAGAGAGAGAGAGAGAGAGAGAGAGAGAGAGAGAGAGAGAAGTAGCATAGATAAGACCAGGTCAGGGACTTTTCATCCGCCCTGACCTCACTCAACCTCGTCTTCGCCTCTAGCCAACCAGTCAACCATCCCCGCCAACCTCCGCCGTCGTCAAGTAGTACTCCACGTGTGCCATCCAGCAGCGTACTCTCCCCGTGCGTACATTAAACAACACGTACGACTCGTAAAGCGCGCACGCGGGGCGGCGTGTCCTGTATCGGTCGAGAGCGTCGTAAAACGCCTGTAATTATAGCGCGCCATATAACGCCATATTGCGAAAGATGATACCGGCAGGCGATGAAAATGCTCGCCCGTGTGCGCCGCACAAGAGATCGATAAACCCTGCTCTGCTTGCCAACGAGACCACTAAGCTCCGAGCACGTGGAGTAAATGACTCTTGCGGGGGATGGGATATTCTGGGGGAATCTTCTTTGGAATAGATTAACAGATTATAGAACCGATGGGAATTAATGGAAAATAGAAATTCGGAATTACAACACAAGGACAAGCTTTCGCAGCAGATTATCGTCAAGGGAACATCATTTAAGCCCGGGTTTCACCAACGTAAGGTTATATTTAATCTTGATTTAACTTACTATTTTCTCTGATTCTTAGAATTAGAAAAAGATAGATAAACAGTGAAATTGTAAAACTTTTATCTTGATTCCAATTTACTCTTTCGTAATTTTTAGAATTAGAAGAAGATAAAGGTACTACGATAAATTAAACAAAGATTAAAACTATATCCAAAATTCATACAAACACTTTATCTAAAATTCATTCTAATGAATTAGAAAAGAATAAATTGAACCAAGATTAAAATTCATTTAATACAAAATTGATTTTGATATTATTTGATCTTATATTAGTGAAATCAAGCCTTAGCGATTTGAAAATAAACATCGGCCTGTGAAGTTTTTCAGGCACTTCTCAAGACCGCACTTGTTTCTACGATTTCTTAAAACTGCTTTACATATAAATTTACCATGAATTTGAAACAAAGAGATATAAAATTGGAAATAGTCAAGAAGATGGTCACCTCGCAATTGCGCGAGATAACTTTGGTTCTCTCTTCACGTACAACAGACAGGCTGGTGAGCGATCTCTCTCTCTCTCTCTCTCTCTCTCTCTCTCTCGGTTTGCCTGCATTCTCCGTATCGCCGAGTGCCAGGCAAATATCGCCGTCACGGTAGCTGCACGTGAAAACGCGGCCGTTATACGCGCGGTCGTGCGGTATTTATGAGTCTGTGCGAACCCGCGACTCGACGCGAATGTATGAAAGTGATTTTCGTGCGAGCGTCGCGGCTTCGATCGAGAGCGGATGTCCGATCGAGCTTTGATCCACTTAACTGACACATCGCGCCCCATCGAACTCACATTCGTTGCGTGCGACATGTTCCAATGCGCGAAAATTGCACTTCGCGGCCGCCGCTTCATTGCATGAAAAGCTTAATCTCTTTGTCTCTTTCTATCTTTTTACACGTGTGTTTCAATCACAAATGTCTAAAGATACCTCTCTTGATTTAGCAAAAAAATATTAAAAAATGCTTGTTTATTGAATAACTAATACATGAGAGAACGTTGGCTGGATTATTAATTACAAACATAATAAGATAACAATCACTATAATTTAAACAAAAGGAGATAATTTCTTTAAAAAATCACACATATATATCACTTTTTTATTTAAAAAGACGTAATTTAAAACATTTTAAATTTCTTATATAGAAAAGAAAAAACTTTCAACTTATATATATAATAAAAAATTATTGACTAATTAAACAATATCGATGAAAAGAATATATTCTTAACATGATCAATTGTCAGTTTTGTCATCTTCTTTTTCTAACTCGTTTGTGATAATAACTTAAAAA